ATGGGGAAGGCCGGGTAACTCGCAGCCTGTCACCGATACTATACCTAGAGCTTCACTCACTCATACGAAGATCTTTTCTTGTGTTTCAATTTTTGGCCAGCACTGTCATCTAGCGGAGACGCTCGCGGGTGTCAGATAACACATAGACCCCCGCCCGTACGGTGGCCGTTTGGGAGAGCATATAGAAGAAAAGCACCAGAATGGAGGACTGTGTCACTACGTTTTACACTAACAGGTTTTAAATGCGTAGACTGATGAGAATAAGATGTATTTGGCCTTCCTGACATCTTACATAAAGATACCTGTGAATACTTCCGGGCAGGCTGGAAAGAAAAAAATATATTTTAATGCTAACAAATATTTGGGGCTGGTGTCACCACATTACAGCACTAAAAACTGGTGATATGCAAGTAGCAAGACAACGAAAAAGAAAAACAAACTAGGACACCAAATTGAATGGGATCACTACATCTTAATATACAGTTTCGCTACTACTCATAGGTCACGTCTAGCAACGATTATTAAAAGTGGTGAAGCAGTCACCTATAAGAATATCACGTAACGTATCCGAAATGACTGGCGCATACAAGGTGGCACATTTGATTGATTTTGGCCCAGAACCACTTGTAATTATCTCAATACAAATCAACCTCAACAGGGCATAATGACCAGTCGTTCGATTTACGATGCCACGCGCTTGACCACAATTAGCTGCGTGCACTCAACAAACGACGCTCAGCATGTGCATAATGTGTGTATTCTCGAAACCGTTCAGGAGCTACTTATTTTTGCCTTTCGAAGCTGACACGCTACTGACCATACGTGTAACGTAACAATGTGCCCCTGTACTGACAAACAGATAACGGTTACCAAGATGAGGCCACTTTGGTGTCATTTTCGGTCACCACAAGTCTCCGTAATCCTGATAACATCCGTAACTCGTAAACGAGATGGCCAAGGAGAAGAATTCTGCACTTTGTACACAAGCATAATAATATATTCTGGTGTTTTATGTTCAAAAACCGCGATAGGATTATAAAGTACGTCGTTGTGAAGGGCTCCGGAAGTTTGGACCATCTGGTGTTCTTTTACGTGCATTAACGTAGCAAACTACGCAGACTTCCACCCTTTTGACTACCACATGAATTGGGATCGAACTATCAATTTTCAGGTGAGCCCCATAACTACTGAACCACCATGTCGGAGCATCACACAAGCACGCCGGCATCAATGTGAGGGATTGTAGTGAGTATATGTAGTGATTTTCAACATTATACATAAATAGATTCATACTACGGAAACAGGGCCACAAGGTAAGACAAATGCGCACGTGGAAAAGGTAACACGAAACACAAGCACCCAGTCTCAAGTGAACATTTATTGACATGTGCCATGTCAATATTTGTTGACATGTGCCATGTGTGTATTGACATTTATTGAACATTTATTGACATCATACATTTACTTTTGCGTGGTTTGACACATATAACAAAAACCATACATAAACGTTTGACAACTGGTGTAAACATGCAATGAAAATACCCAAAAAAGAACAACAACATATCTGCCTATTCAAGTATAAGATTTCGTTATTGTGCAAGGCTACAGACGGGAAGCTGATGCAATATTGAGTTTCTTTTTGTGTGTCCCAAGCCTCGATAGTCCCTCGAGTTGTCTGATTATAATGCTGCGACACCGTGCTGGTTTCACAGAACTGGGGTGTACATCCACACAGCCGATAAAACAAATGTCAGTGTGTATTTCATATTCTTCGTGTGCATTCGTCTTACTTTGAGGCGCCGTTTCAGGGGTATGAATTCATACAAACTTCTCCAGTTGTCAATGCTTATAAACATAAATACATACTTTGAGGCATGACTATAGAAAGCGCTACGTAAAAAAAAAAAAAAACTCCCTAGCATTTCCCCGAGGGTGAACATGGTTAAGTGTGAATGCACGGGGTGATGCTATGAGGGGTATTTATTAATTCGCACTATTATATTTATTTATAGCGTTGACGATTGCGAGCGGCGTCTTGACGCCGGCCTTCATCGCCCTTTTCCGCCTGACGCTTGCGTTGTCGTTCCGCTTCTTGGGCCGCGTTCGCGGCTCGATGCTGACGCCTCATCTCGGCCTCGCGAGCGCGCAGTTCACCATCCGCAATAAAGTTTATTCTCTCTCTAATAAAGTTTATTCTCTCTCTCTCTTCACCATCCGCGGCACGCTTCACCCGCTTGTCCTCGGCCTCGCGAGCGTGAAGTTCGGCATCCTCTGCACGCTTCGCCCGCTTGTCCTCGGCCTCGCGAGCGCGCAGTTCGGCATCCGCTGCACGCTTCGCCCGCTTGCACTCGGCCTCGCGAGCACGCAGTTCGGCATCCGCTGCACGCTTCACCCGCTTACGTTCGGTCTCACGAGCCCTTCGCAGCGCCACCTTGTCTTCCAACGTCGGCGAAACCACCGCGGTATCGTCACCTCCAACGACGGGTGCAGTGCTGGCATTCGGTTGTACTGCATTCGTTGTTGATGGTAGCGTTGCCTCCGGGACATCCATCGCACGACCCGCTCTCGACGGGAGACTGAGAGAGAAGGCGGGCGCGATAGAGAGAGAGTGCGCGTGCAGCTGCAGCGAGCGAGGAAAGTGGAGGAGCGAGCGAAGGGGGAGGGGGATGCGCGCAGCGGCGTTAAAGATATAAGGCGCGTTACTGACACCGATATCAGCGTCGCGTCTGCGGCTTATTCGGTAGAGCGTCGCGCTGCGGCCCGCCAAGTCCTCTTTCTTTTAAAGATAGAGTGAAGACTGCGGACGCCGCCGACGGCGGTGGATGGTTTGGGGTCGCTTATAAAATGTATTCACACTTAAAACTAAAGGGACTTGAGCTAAATGTATAGGCGAAATGACCAATGCGCGTGCACGTTAGCGAGCTAAAACAAGGATTTTTGAAGTAGTAGTCCGTGAAGGCTATTTCTGCATAGTGTTTTGTGCGTATGCGTGGCAAGTATCATGATACCCATAATGTCAGTCTGCCCGTGTTCCATGTAACATCGCCAGCGGGCGTATGGACTACACACCTCAAGATTTATTTCTGGCTGACTATAGCCTCACGGGTGCCTGTCTTTGCCTGCCACTTATATGACTTATATGCGTAAGTGGGCAAGCTTACCAATGAGTGGACGCTCACAGACTCACTCATAGGTGGGCGCTGTGAGTCTGAGCGAGTCCGTGGAGCTTGAGTCCGAGTCAGTCCAGGTATACCAGACTTCAGTGAATATTTCCGTCTGAGAGCGTGCGGTTCAGTGCACTATCAGCGAATTTGTCTCCGAGTAATCCCAGAGCACAAAATATGTTTCTTGACTGAGTCTGTGCTACACTTCCATCTTTTATTGCCGACCCATGGTCCTACCGACTCATTCATGTTCAGCTTCACAATCGGTATTCTATCGGCTTACTTTTACACTCAAATCTATTCAGGCATGCCTTAACTTACAAACGTTCGTGCGGTACCTGATTATTGATGAGAGGCTTAAGTTCGCACAAGGGGGAGGGCCGGAAGACCTTTCACTTAAATTTCTTGATAAATATATGTCGTGCCAGTTGCATGCTTCACGAGAATGCCCTTGGTGGATTCAAACCACTGGTATACAATCGCAAGGCGTATCGTGTAACACGCATGTCGTAATATTGGCGTTAACGAGCGTTCACTCTATGATCGAAAAAGCTCATTTTACGTTGAAGAACTCATCAGTTGACTCACGGAGGGTCACTTGGATTTAGGGAAGCTGTCAGTATAAGTGTGGGTGAGTCCATTTGAGTTATATGTCAGTGAGATTGAGTCCGAGTAAGTCCCATTTAGAAAAACAAGTTTCGTGATTCTGAGTACGAATGAGCTCGGCTTGGGCAAATTTCGCCGAGTCTGAGTCCGAGTGAACGCTGAGCCTAAAACACATTTTCGGAGTGAGTATGAGTGAGCCTCATCGTTCTTGCCGACCTACGCGCACATGACGCTATGGCTAGGCAGGCTGTCATATATCTGCTGCAGAGGTAGTGTTGGGTGTCGGGAGTCAGGGGGCGTCCTACCACTGCGACCAGTTCTTGAGCCTGGTGGTTTCATCATCTCCGCGCTCACACCGGTAGTTGGGTACCCGGGTGCGGCTCGTGTCGACATTTGTAGCTGGCCCCCTTCATGGGACCCATCGTCCAACTTCGCAGGGATGAGAGGCGCTCGAACGATAACGACCGGTTTATTTACATAGTAAGAAGGCGAGAAGTCGAGAAGTCGACAAGAAGTCAGCTAGTGATTAAGCGACCAGAAATGATGACTGAGGCGAATGATCTTAGATAGAAAGAGATACAAGAAGTTTCCAGCTTTTACAGTTCCGGGCTGCCCACCCTGGGCACATTTCCCGCTTCCCCCAATACAGTGTCCAGTGGCCTCGGTGCTCCACCCGCGAAAAAGGGGAAAGACACCCCAAACACACATGGAAAAGGAACAGAAGAAGACGATACCCAAATATGGTCACGAACGCATGGCATCACGACTCCGCACATGGCACCAAGAACCTGCACATGACACCAATATTTTATTAACGGTTGAGGGACTTGGCGCGGCATCCTATACAAAAACCTTCCCGGTAAAAGGGCGGAAGCTCGAAAGAAAATGAAAAATAGGTGAGAGGCGACTAGCCTCCGAGGGACGAGTGCCGATATCACCTGGATGTTCCCACGGCTGCACTCGAAAAGTGCAGCGGCGATCGGATTCGCTTCTACGTCCCCCTACCCAACAAATACCACTGTGTACCCGACGAGTGACCCATTCGCTGCACGTATAGCCTCTGTGTTTTTCGGTTCTGCACAAAACCGGTCCGGTGACAGCTTGGTTAGAGCTTCTGGCGAGGCAATCGGCGTGTTTAAAATGCCTTCCCCACTTGGAATGCATCCACACACAATCGCTTGTTTCACATCTACAAGATAATCTTCAAGGCCAGTGATGGTCATAATAACAACACAAGGAAGATTCCGAAGGCATTCTTTGCTACTTATAATTTAATCAAATACCCCGAAGCGCTTCTGGACGCTTAATGAAATCACGTACGTGACTGCAAAGTGTGTGCGGTCTGCACGCGTAATAAATAGAACTCGCACTGGCTTCGTCGCCAGAGGAAAGCTCATAGCCACGAGCAGCGATAAACCATGAAGAAGTTGTGCGTCGTCTTTGCCGTTGTTCTGCTGTGCTCAGGTGAGTATGTGTTCGCTCACAATAACGCAGAGCTTGCGTCCCTATGTCGATTTTCTTAATACGCTAATATCGATTGCTTTGAAGGGCACGTAACAGCATGCGCTGTAGTACATCGCCTGGTGTTAAAACAGTCGTAGTCATCATGCACGCCCTTACATGAAGTACATTTCTTGAGCAGTGCGGAAGCTTCATACTACGGGAGCATCTTTTTACGGGCATAGATACGTCACAATTAATGACGATGCATCCACTTCTGGGCCGGCTGAGGTTTTCAACATCATACATTCATAATGATGCGAATATATGACGCAACAATGCTCAGGAGTCAAGAAGGACGTCGTGTGTAAAACAGTCTCCTCAGCATAATTTTATCTGAGCGTGCCCCTGATAAAGGTTAAACGAGCCTCGACAATCGTTTTCAAAGGCTATGTGGTTTTGTAACTGCCATTTTATTTTTTAGAGGTGTTTACCTTATTCTCTAAAGTGTACCCGAAATGGTAGTTTCTACAAGGGAGCAATGAAGTGCTTCTGACATTGCGTCGTACCGAACAATACATTTCCGGCCTTGGCAGAGGTCTTGATCTAGCTCTCTGGTGATTGCACTGCAAAATGTGCACAATTTCTTATTAAGAAACCAGTGCAATCGTTGCGAAATATACAAGCAGAACATAACAGAACAAAGTTATTGTTTAGGGGATGATTTGCTTGGTGTTCGAGGAGCTATAATACACCGAAAATTGGTCTACCCACGTCATTGATTAGGCGGTACGTTAGGAGTTGTCAAGTACAGGTGAAATATACGCTTATTGGCTAGCACAGGCGTACGGCAATCTGGAGTTGCAAATACGAATTACTTATACGACACTGTTATATACAAATTTATTGTTATTACACAGCCAAAAGGAATTTCTTGCATTTTCTGTACAGCTATGCTGGCGGATGCTCAGCGTGGAGGCGGAGGGACTAAATGCGGTGTAAGTATATTAAGAGCATTCTGAAATTTATAAAAAATGTGAAGGTTTCATGTCGCAAGGCAGGACTTGGCTGCTAAAAATAAATACACGCGTCAGTCATGTCACGCTACACTAGCTAGCCATATTTTGTTTTGCGGTAGGACTAGCTACCGCAAGAGGTCAAGTGGTTAAGGTACTCGACTGCTGACCCGCAGGTCGCGGGATCAAATCCCGGCTGTGGCGGCTGCATTTCCGATGGAGGCGGAAATGTTGTAGGCCCGTGTACTCAGATTTGGATGCACGTTAAAGAACCCCAGGTGGTCTAAATTTCCGGAGCCCTCCACTACGGTGTATCTCATAATCATATGGTGGTTTTGGGACGTTAAGCCTCACAAATCAATCAATCAATCAATAGCGTGCCACCTGGGCCCGCTCCGGCGCTTTGGCAATCTCCTGCAGGATATTGTGCACTCCGAGCTGGAGCAGGTGCTAGGTAGGTGAGCTGCGTAATCGGGATTGCAAGGGTCCACTTGGTGATTTTTGTGAGCATGAATTCGAGCTTGTCGCACTCGGCATGCTGTAAATTATGAATGACCGGAACATATGAAAAGCGGGCTGCGCAATTATTAGTTTCTGCACAATACCTTCTTTCTTCCTCTCGTTTATAAATATCCAATACCCAATAGTCACTGAAAATAGTGAGAAAAGTGCGAAGATGAGTTATGCAGCCACATAGTAACTTCTCGTGAGCTAGTTTTGTGAACTTAGCGCATTTTGGAGTTCATTCGCTTATTATTTGCATGCGATTATTTTCCTCCTTTCAAGTACAGAATATACAAGGACTTAAAAAATGAAATGTGCGTTGTATTTCGGTAGTGAATATCACTTTTGTTGTAAGCAGGTGGCGACACCCTTTTTATCTGCTCTTCAATTTGCAGGGAGAAGTCTGTGACAGTGATGAAGTGTGCGAGGAGAGATACGTTCAGTGCACCAAACCACCCTGCCGGAAGGCGCCACAATGTGAGTTCAAACTTCAGACATTTATCCAAAAATACTTATTAGAGGAGGCCTTGCAGGGTGTCTCCTTTTTGTCACTCAGTGACGATTACACCGCGTAAAGTCCGTGAGAGATTTACTGAAAAGAAATTCGCCAGTGAGAAGTTAAGCTCGACAACGATGATATTAGGCACAGAAATATATTCCAGACGACGTTACATCGTGATGCATTTGTCCTCCTAAGGAATATTTCTTGTGCGAGAAATTTTCTGCATGGTAGTGTGGCTGGCATCCAAGGATCAAGTAGATTAAGAGAGAGAGGGAGGCTTTATTAGAATAAGTGAGATTTTTGCCGGCGTCTATATGCCGCTGGCACGATAGTCTGTATATGGATTGGGAAGGGGACTAAAATATATCACATTAGGTGTGCTTTTAACGCTACAGCGTTAAAGAGCTCGTTTAACAGATATTCCGGCGTCGGTGTCAGCGCCGACGTCGTTGGTTGTGAGCGAAAAATCATCATTACGTGCACAACTGAAAAATTCAGAACGATGCTATTATTATCAATATAAGAAATCTTGGGTCAGAGTGAGGATAAATTTCGGGTCATCTGCGTGGCAAGCGGTGACGCTATACACAGGAACGTCGCTGCTTGTGAACACAATGAAAATAACTTCTGCTTGAAAATGGATTGAAAGTAACTTTCATGCTTAACAAACGCATGCGCCCTGCATACATGCTTCACGATACACCATGATATATTGCAGTAATAATGCGTATTCAGAACACGTGACCATCATAATGACTTCATGGCTTAAAGCCGGTCATACAAAGGCACACACGTTACAGCACCTATACCCTCAAGGCCACGTATATAGCGGGTGCATAACAAGTTCGCAAAGATTTCATGCCAAGATTGTTCAAAGTACGTATACTTTTAAAGCCGAAGCTTAAGAGTCCCGCCATTTTTTTCCGCTTAGAGCAACTTTTCATGACTGATGGAAACTTCAACGATGTTTAAGTGGTGCGATTAGGTATAAAAATTAAGGTAAGCACATTTGGCAGAGGCGTGGAAGGGTGGGTGAGAATATTATAATAAAACCAACTGCAAAAGCACATTTAGTCCATGGTTGGTAATATTAGAATAAAAACAAAACTGGCCCTACGTTCAGAAATACACATGTGTTCTTACGACTGTATATGGCTGATTCCGAAGTGATTTCTTCTACGGGGACAACCCCTAAGAAATGTTGCTAGCTTTGGAGCCAGCAGGACAATCCCCCCTTAAGGAAGATACACAATTAGTCTCAAAATGTACGGCCGGTTCTTGATTTTAAAATTGAAAACTATCGATTAAAGGGACTGGGGAGTTTAAAAATATGACAGAAACTAGGTGAAATGTTTTTGAACAGAGTGTTCGCAGGAGCAGACGTTTCGATAAGCCCTTTCGAAGTTGCTGCCTAGCAGAAGAGCAGACTACCTGCAGAAATAACTGGTCAAGCGATGCCACCTGTGCAAATTCATATACCTCGTTGAGCCCTCATTTTTCTCCTAAATTACTACCCTGTTTTGACACAAGGAACAAGATATTCCAGATTTTTACCCGTATTTCCTAATCTCTGTCAAATTGGTTCGATAGATTTTCCCACACTAAGCATGTACAAAAATTTGCCCCCAAACAGCTTATTATAATGCAATTTTGAGCATTGTATTAGGCCTTATTTTGTGACGCTGGTTTTATGTATTGTTTTTTTTTTATTCAACTTTCAGGTGTCTATAAAAGAAGAGGCTAACAAGCTGAACACACCCATTCATTCGAAACCCAGTGGTACAAGATCCCATTCGCTGGAAAGAAGAACGTCCGATCCGACCAGAAAGGCTTTTTTTTACTGCACTAACCATTAAGACACAACCTTGTCCTTGTTCTGTACGTTTCTAATTAAGATGGGCCACCTGAGCTTTGGGGGCACATATATGAAGAAAACTTGGTGATGTCAATAGACAATCAGGTAACGCTTGAGTATATATATATATGAATGGCCCAATAAACCAAGGACGCGCCACGCTGTTTGCGCAAAGTTTTACTCTCATCGGCACCGGCAGCCTTATATGATACGTTACATTCATGCTACGTGACATTAGCAGCGGCGGAAATAGATGCGTGGGCGTGCTATACGTATTGCACAAAGTTTTTTTGGAAATATACGCATAACGACCTTTTGCATGAAGGTCCCTCACATAAAAGACGAAGTGCTGAGTAGTGTGATCTGATGCATATGTTGTATTCTACTACTTTAATAATAATAATAATAATAATAATAATAATAATAATAATAATAATAATAATAATAATAATAATAATAATAATAATAATAATAATAATAATAATAATAATAATAATAATAATAATAATAATAATAATATTTTATAATATGTACGATTTTATGTCGAAAACCATATGATAAATACACATGCCGTAGCGGAGGGCTCCGGAGGTTTGGACAATTTGGTGTTCTTTAACGTTCTCTCACATCAACCAGTATACCGGCCTCTACCATTTCAACTCCACCGAAATGCGACTTCCACGGCTGGGGTCGAACCCACGTCCTTCGGATAAGCAGCCGACAACTCTAGCCGCTGTTCCACCAAGGCGGACACTTCTGCTATACAGTTGATGTAAAGAGCCTGCCACGCTACATTATAAAGTGTTCTGAATTATAAAGAAGACGCACAAGCGTTAAAAGGTACAACAGAGAAAGTGCATGCATTCGTCTTTCGAAGAAAAAATTGGCGGATCCCACGTATAGTGGGAATCGATAATATGCGAAGCACGAATAAGGAAGGTCGATAGGTCACTTGAAAATTTGAGCAACGTTACGAGGCGAACGTAAATTATGCCGTACATGACTTGCATATTGTGATTATCATGTTTGCGCCTGGGATTTGTGTTCGTAGTCCATTCACGGCACGTAATACCAACCTTGGTATATGTGAAACCAGTGAAACGGCCGCCAGCACGCTATGAACGTAGCGTGTATATAGTCGTGTTTTACATGACACGCAATTCATGATTATCATGTTTTGACGTGTCGTTCACCTTCGTCGTCTATTCACGTGACGTGATACCAAATTTTGGTGTATCTGGAACTAGCAAAACGTCCACGACCGCGCTATAAGCGTAACATGTATGGCCGGGTACTTCAGAAGCAGCCAATTTTCTCCGCGACTAAAGAAATAGTTGCACTCGAAAAATTGTGACTACATCTGAAACACGTATTTGCCGTTATAAATGAGATTTGTGTATTGCGACGCGTGTTTTTGTAAAACTGTAATGATGGAAACGCTAAAGCACAGGCGGGATCACGAGAGAAAAATAATTCCATGCCCTCTACAACGCCGTATGTCGTGTGCTACGGAGCAAAATAGACTGCACCGGGCGTCTAATTGTAAAGCAGTCGCTGGTTTCATTGCATAAAATTCGTATGTGGTTTTCGTCCAATTTTTTTGTTCAATGTTCAATTCGTATGTGCTTTTTTGTTCAATGTGCCAAGCATTTTTTTTTTGCGGTTGTGAACCTGCAATATCGTGAGCTCACGCACGTTGGCGCACGGCATTGCGTGTCAGAATTATTCGATTAGACGAGTTGCGAAACTGCGTTCGAAAATCCGGACAGGCAGTTGGCCCAATTTTTCGGGAATTAGCCGACTTTCACACCACCTGGGAGCGGCAACACAAAACACAAATAATGCGTTTAATCGCAAATCTGGTATGGTATGACATGACCGCATGGCGAATATAAGTGAAGGGTCCTCACGAGGAAATCATGACATCCTTGTCCTGTAAGAACATGACTACATGCCACGCTCATAATACTCTCACGGTTGTTTCGCTAGCTCCACATATGTCAAGTCTGGTACTATAGGACGTCAATAAATGATGAAGGTATATGTTTGGTGCAAACATAATAATCATGAAATGCATGTCATGTAAGCACATGACAACACAGTGAGCTCATAATTCACTCGCAGCCATTTCGCAAGCTTCACATATACCAAATTTGTTATTACGTAATGTGAATGGACGACGAAGGTAAACGACACGTACAAACATGATAACCATGATATGCGTGTCATGTAAAATATGACTACATGCTACGCTCATGATGTGCTTCCAGCCGTTTTGCTAGCTTCCCATGTACCCAATTCGGTAATACGGGGCGTGAATGAGTGACGAAGGCAAACGACAGTGCAATCATGATGATCATGATATGCGTGTCATGTAAAACATGACTACATGCTACGCTCATAGCGCGCTCGCGGCCGCTTCGCTAGCTTCACATATACCAAATTTGGTATTATGTGGCGTGAATAGACGACGACGGTAAATTAGACGCCCAAACAAGATATTTATGACGTGGCAGTCATGTACGAATACTTTATATCAACCTTTCAGCGTTGTGCTGATTTCAAAGTGAAATGTCTACCCTCCCGATTCGTGCTTCGCATATCATCGATTGCCACTGCACGTGGGCTCTGCCAACATTTTTATGTTATGACTAGTCACTTATGCTCGTCGTACAGTCATGGTATGTCATACTGGTTTAGGTATAAGCACCATTATCGAAATGGCGAAGAGAGTTAAATGTCGTAGGCGGCTAGATAGATCAGTAGATAGAGAGATACGGTCAACGTTACTGAAGTTCACTAACAAATGCTAGTAATGTAAAAAAAGCGATGCTCACATATATGTTTATCGCTTTCTGGTTAATTCTACTAACAGTGACAGCGTTAACGTGAGCATAGAATTCGTCTTTCCATCACTCGCCGGCGCAGACACATCCATCTAAAAAACAATAAAATACTCTTTCCTCCTTGTTCAATGGTAGGCGAGAATGCCGAATAATATAAAACAAAAACTTCAAACGGGGACGAATCCTCACCCATGGTGAGACTTCTGAAGAAGTTACCTGCTCCTGTGTGGGTGTCGACAGAGTTCTTTGTGTAATGCGGCTACCAATGCCACGAAGAATAATTTCGTGAAGATAGATGGTATCTGCCTGAAATGCTTTCGCATCGAAACAAATAGACAGTTCACGCCATCATCAGCAGTGCTGTTAATTTTTTGTATTCAGTAATTGGAGCACAGGCAAATTTTTCGTGAGCTTCCCAAGTCTAACGCGCCTTAAGAAAGTTATTTCTCGGTTGTGGTGTGTCACACGTGTGCTAAGTGGGTCATACTCTTCGTACAGTATCTTGCTCTCATGTTTTGCGATGCTGTATATTTTAGGAACGTAAAATAAACCTTCACTCATTAGCAGCATCAACTACATGTCTTTCTTACATTCCGCGTGTTAAACTCCTTATACAAGGAATATATACAATCGCATCATTCGGTAACTTTGACAATCTCAACGTCAATATTCTTAGGGCCATCAAAAAGTAATCGAAATATTGTGGAAGTAGCTTAAAACTAAATTAAATTCACTAAAATTTTCATGAAAGAGAATTACGGCAAGTGCTTATTCAGGACGCATCTTGCGAACTAGTAATAGCTTCTAAGAATTATTTACGTTACGAACAGCACATTGCCTGTCAACATTGGAAGAAGTAGGAAAACTATATCTGCAAAAAACATACAGGCCCGGGAGGGCGAGTGCTGGCAGGAACTGCGTACCGATGATCCGGCAGCCTTCGAAGCCATGCTGAATCACGAACACGAATGCAAGCGCCAGTGGCGGGCGGGTCGTGTGAACCATGCCGCCGAGACAGCTAGTAGTGTAAAATGTTGCAACAATGCCACGCTGAAGAAGCGGCGTTGCGGGCAGAACAGCGTCAACATGATGATTGTGGAAGCGCATTCGCCGGAGCGAGTGCCTGCTTTCGGCGGCAATTTCTCCAGCGGCACTTTGGCTTCGGCTGCGACGTCTGTGACCGCCTGTGGTTCGAGAACAGCCACTGTGATTAACGCATTGCAAAACGCAATCAACCAGTCGTTACCCTCCTTCATGGCCGGAATCATGTGAGGCACAAAGCGCACTATGTGAAATGAGCACTGTGCCAAACCCAAGCAAAAAGCGTGTCTAATCTCTTTAAAAAGGGCGAACACGTGATCAATAGTTGTGAAAGGCTTCAGGGCAGCGTTGGGCTGATACCACTGCTAAACACCGGAGCCGTGCGTTTCAGCTTTTGCTGGTTAAACATTTGTAAGGAGTGCTTAGGCTTTATTAATGTTGAAGATACTTTCATCCCACTGTGTGAGCCAGATATCAGCTAAGTGTGTCTGTGTTTTATAGAAACAGTGTTTGCACCTTATGATAACGATAGTATGACGTTGTGAAACATAAAATAGGACCTGTTTCGCACGCTGTAGTATGCGGTAGATACATGAGGGCTTTGTAATTCATTTCTCCAACATGACTTGCCGTGCTATACCACCTCGCTTTGCACACGCCACCTTGTGACTCATCGGTACAACGATGCATGTCCTTGTTATTTAGGACCTTCGTACATGCTCTTCATCCTTACACATGGGCACGGGGTTTTCTCGTTTAGACAATGTGTGACAGGCACGCTAGAAAAGTTTCGTGGAAGGAGATGAATGAGCGACGCTCACGAAGTGTGAAGAGTCGTGTTTACATTTCGAGCTCCCGAGGCTTCGCACGAGTGACTTCCGAGACACGTAGAGGACGTGAGTTCCGGCTGTGTGGTGGTTCCGCATAAAAGGACCTTCTTCGGTGACGGTGGATCGCTGTCTCAAACAGATGCAAACCGAACTATGAAGAACACTGCCGTCGTGCTTGCGGCGCTTCTGCTTTTTTCAGGTAAGCCCCCTGCAGACATGTCAGATTCTCTGATAACAAGAGGTCAGTGATTTGTATGCAGTAGTGCACAGGCAATGGCCACTGCACAAGCAGCAGCTGTCGCGAAAGATAAAAGAGCTCTCATGACAATTGTGCACGGTACATGCACTTGCGGGGTTAGTGCCTCAACCCTGCAATATCTACGCAGACACAGAGAACCTGCACTTGTTGATAATTTGACTAGACAGGAAGGACGAAGTTCCTAAAGTAGACACTCAAGGATAATATTAAGCCTAGCTTGATGGATAGATTAGCCATCTTGAAATACAGTGTGAATTTTACACGCCACCCAACTGACTCTGTAGCGTTGGTACTTAACTAGGAAGGTCGCGTTGATAACTGTGAATCTAACTTTTCCGAACCTAAACGTATAGCTTCACTTTCTCATGACCTGCTTCTATACCATTGCCTGTGCACGTGATTAGCTAGGACCGACGTCACATAAGAAGTACCATTGTCCCCAGCAGTTGGCGCCTTTTTCAATTTATAGCAGGTCATTTCAAAATGTATGAAAAAGACCCGAGTTTGACTGTCACTCAGCTCGGAGTTCTTTCAATGCTTTTTATGGGAAAACGGTTCTATTATGTGACGTTGTATATAGTGAGTGATAACCACGTTTGTTTTACTAGTTGATTCTTTCAGTACGTTTGAGTGCACAGAGCGCAAGAATATCGGTGTGATTGACAATGATGTAGAGAAATATGAAAATTCAGGGTTAAGTTGTGCACGTACATTCACTTCACCCATTTCCAGCTTTAGTCGAACCATTGATCAGAGTATATGTGATACGCAGTGGCTATATTCGTGGTGACATCAGACGGGTACCTCAAGACCTGATGTACTGCAGTCTTTGTGATACATAAAAAAAGATGCTAGTTTTAATCTGTCGGGACTGTACTGTTCTTGGTTAAAGATTCACAGAGTTTTATTAGCAAATGCTCGGTAAAATGAGGGCAAGAATAAACTTGGTGGAAACCAACAGCGCATTCATATTTGCAAAGTGTGGATTGCTGCAAGTCCAAAAATTTGTTTTTATGGATGTTGTTACTTATCTTTCTGTAATAATCATCTATCATGCAATTTTTAGCAGGTGTGCTTAGTGTGTTTGTTTTCCGCTTGCAGCGATGGTGGTAAACTCCCAGAGGTTTCCGGGAGGTGGCATAGTTAACAGAGTTCGTCAACGTATATGTAACGTAAGTAGTATTAACCATGCGTAAGGTGCCTTGAATAGTACAGGGTATTTCAATCTGCAAGATTGCTGAGGGAAAACATGAATCTGTAATCATTCAAAAGCAGGGTGCCGTAACAAGGAAACTCTGACACCAACAAAATGATGTTTGTGTGAATTGTTACATTTAATTTCAAAGTGCATTCAGATCATATTGACGTTTTTCTTGTTTCACTTAACAGGGCCGATTTTGCCGTTATGGTGAGCGTTGCATCGAGACAACATTTCCGTGCCGAAGGCCTCCATGCTTGAGGAGGTTTCGATGTGAGTGATCTCCGAATGTTTGTTGTGTAACTAGTTTGTAAGCATCACAAGTCCGCTATTTTCCTATCGTGAACAGGCGTGTGTAGACAGCCCATATGTATAAGTTGACCTAGATTACCCTTAGAGAAAAATGTTTTGATATTTATTACGTCGCCCTGACCATAGAATGTAGTTAAGCGCTTTTTGTGTGATAGTAAGCGCAATATTTGAGCAGATTACGATTTCGGATTCATAATAGACATTCGGATGGATGAAAATCTGCATTTGCGAATAACGCATTAGCTTAACAATAATTAAATTTTACATCATAGACTAAAACACACCATAAAATAAGTTCTGGAGCTTCTTATTTCAAGAAGAGCTCGAAAAATTCCCCCATCGGTAGCTACATCGCAAAACGTTATCGCGTAAGGGATTTGTTACAACATTTTAATTAGGACTGCAATCACTATAATTATGAGCAGTGCAGCAGGAAGGGCTACAATATATTTTCAATGCATATACAGCACACGAAAGCAGGCTGGTTTGTTGGCTGGTTCCTCAACAACTTGGCGCAACCCACCTAGGGGGAGATGGCCATGAATCGGGCGGTGCCTTGCTCTTTAAACTAATTCACTTCTTGAAGGAAATGATTTAATTCATTAGGCGTTAAAGGTACTATTATAAAGTTGTTTAATTTCAAAACAAAAAAAAACTTCGAGAACGATGACATATAAACACACAATAAAGAGAAGAAATGAAAAAGGTCTATGCATAAAACAACTGAATTTAGCTACGTTTAGCGTTCCATTCTTTTAGGCTGTCATAAAAAACGTATAGCATCGGTAAAATGCTCCTGTGGCTAAAATAAAATGCGATTGCGCCAAATGAAAGTATCACCGGAAGTGACAAGTTTAAGTCCAACTTTCGTATGGGTTCTCTTAGTAATCTTTTCCTTTGACTTTTGAGTTTTGTCGACATGGTTTAATCACAAGCTATCATGCTTGTATTACGACTAACTCATTTGTAGCATGCTTGTATATCGGTAACGTTTCTTGCTATATGATGTACTTCCATAATCAATGTAGACACACCAGTCGTTGAAAATATACCTTTAATTATATGTGCCCTGCGTGGTGATCATGTCGTTATTCATTGTGACTTTTTTTTAAATTCTTGCAGGTATTTGAATCCAGACGGTGGCCTCTTCTGTGGTGAATGTCGTTATGCCACGCAGCCACGCAATAGAACACGGGTAGAATAAATAAACTTCATGATGCAACGCCTCTACCAGCAGCATGACCAATGTTTTAGGACGTGTGGTCGCGTAGCACCATCGCTCTTCGGTGACAGCGGTGGCCGGCCATAACTGAATGGGTAATATGCGTAAAAACTAATATCTGACCAAAAATGTTAGATACGAAAGATAGTTCCCGGTTCTACAAAGGAGAGACTTGTCTGAACGGTCTGGTGAAACTACAGCTTCGCCGAACGCACCGCATGGCTTGCCACAGCGTACTGCTTTACAATGGGGTCCCATGTATTTTAAATGATCTGCATTCAATTGTGCTTGGAAGTCACCTGTATACTTTTCAGTGCGATACTTTAATAATTTTAAAATGTTCCAGTGGGTTTCTTCTATATAACTGGGAGTCGTTTTTGGTGAGTAGCTTTTTTCATCGGATATGGATTTATTTCGCCCACGGCCCATTAAGCTATGGCCCGACGGCGTTGTGGCCGTCGATAGATGGTGCCACGTACAGATGTTGTTAAATATTTGAAATAAAAGCGTTCTTTTCCTAAGAGGCAAGAATAAATCACTATTAACACATCTACTCATTCTGCGTCCTGACATTCCAAAAGCAAATCGGGGAGATAAAGAACAAATAAAAAGAAGCAAGGGACGACAACTGAAACCGATAACAATTTTGCTCGTGTGAACTTTCTGGCTCTCTGCCAGAAGTCTCATTTACAAATGACATTAAACAATAAATTGAAACAATCGCTTAAGTAAGTTGAATGACACGTCCAAGACAACGTACACAGGTGGCAAACTTTCACTAGATTGCATGAGAGTGTCTGAATATAAATCGACATTAACTAATGATGCATAGTGATGATTTGGTTTGGTGCCGAGTCGGTTTGCTTCATCTCATTTATTTGCCTACACGGAATAAAATGTTGAGCAAACCCACTCGTTGACGAATCGATTACCTGACGTTCTTTTGACGTTGTTTGACTCCTCTCTCGCACAAGACAGGTTCTCGCACTTTAAACGCAACACTACCTGTGTGCCGACAAGGGTACGGCAGTTTTCTCATTAATTCAACTTTTTGTCATCGGTAACGGAAGTCCTGTGCGAACAATGAACATATTTTGTAAGTGGATTCGGTGGTTAGAAAATAGAATCAGAAGGCTAACGTTTGCAAACCTGCTTCAAAAGAGGGAATGGAAATTACACTTACACAAACATTACGCATGATACAATTTTTCAGGCACAAGTTCCATCATCATTGGTATCGTATCCACGATAACCATCATTGTTTGGTCTCTTTTAGTTTATTGCATAACGGAGGTCTTCTTCCTGTGATCTCACGTATAGCCTACCTTGAGCGAGCATTAATTTATTTTCAATATACATATATTCAGGATAAAAATTAAGAAAAGGTAACCACATCTTTCCACGGGGAGAGCTCGAGTAACTGAGTCGCGGAGTTGTGGGAGTATCGTACGAATATTGCTTGATTTGGAAATGGTTTTGGAATGCTTAATCATTATTTCGTCTTTCTCATTTTTTATTTATTGAATGAAGGAGAAGCGTTGCCTTCAACGAGTGACGTGACGCTTATGTGCGATCTAGTGCCTACATATACGGGTTGGTCTTGATTCTCAACGTCGTTTTAGTATTGCTTCGTTTCGATCTCGAAGTTGACGCGTTAACGTACTTAGGTTGCACGCAACATTATGCCTCTGTGAATACGAAAAGATGGCAGGTTGCCCAGTATTGCCCCTGCATTGTCATATTTGGTCAAGTTTGGCACCATAAAATTGAACATTACTTTTAAAATTAGCCGTCAGATGTATGCAACTAACAGTAAAAATCAACTAATTTCGAGAGTACTTGTAACACTATACGGGACGCAAGAAATGAAGTTTTTGAATCATTGCACAAACATAATAATGAAACTTGGGATTTTACATCTTGAGACTCGATATGGTTATGAATTAAGCCACTGTGGAGGGCTCAGGAAGGCCCCGTCGCGGTGGTCTAGTGGCTAAGGTACTTGGCTGCTGACCCGCAGGTCACGGGTTCATATCCCGGCTGCGGCGGCAGCATTTCCGATGGAGGCGGTAGTGTTGTAGGCCCGTGTGCTCAGATTTGAGTGCACGTTAAAGAACCCCAGGTGGGCGAAATTTCCGGAGCCCTTCACTACGACGTCTCTCATAATCATATGGTGGTTTTGGGACGTTAAGCCCCACATATTAATCAATCAGGGCTCAGGAAGTTTCGAGCATCTGTTGTGTTTTTACGAGCACTGACATCACACACTACATAGACCTTTCCAATTTCGACACTATCACAAATGACCGAGATCAAGCCCGCAATTTTCGGGTCAACAGCCTAGCACGACAACTATATATTACCATGTCCGACAGTTACATAAACATGCCGGTATCAGTAGGTCATAATAATAGATACCTTGAGGCCTGACTACACGCGCTCTACGTAGAAATTGAAGACTATTCACGTAAATATATCGGTGAATCGCCCAATGCATATACAAGGTAGAAAGCAAAAACAATGCGTTTAGGAGAAGCCACCGGGGAAAGTTATTTGAGCATAGTAGTTTTTTAACACATGTGGCAAGTACCGCAAAGCGCATAACGTCTTCCGGATTGTCCGCAGTGCATGGAATATCGCAAAGGGCTTACCACCTAAACACGTGACCATTTAACACCGGCAGACTACTCACGCAAGCCTGTTCGTGCCCGTCGCCTATTTGAAGCGCGCTTTCTCGACAGATTGCCATGCCCTTGCTGCACGGTAAACACGAGGAATACTTCCCGGACGCCATGCGTTACGTGCATTCAATCATAAGAGCTTCAGGACGTTCAACACTTCCGTGCACGTGACTGCGTTATATCCGGCCAGCACGCGGCATAAATATCACTCGCACTCGAGTCGTCGCTAGACAGTTCTTCAGAGACACTAGCTGAGGTGAACCATGAAGAAGTTGTGCATCGTCCTTGCCATTGTTATGCTGTCTTCAGGTGAGATTTTAAAGCGCGGAGTAAAATAGAAGTCACGTTTCCGCGTTTCATGGGTCAAATATTATGCTATGCTAATATGGAGTGCTTTAAAAGCCGATGTATTGTGCTTCGTAATTCACCGTATGATGCTAAACCAACGCTATTGATCACATAGGTGATATGGCAATTTAATCGCTTGATTAGTGTGATTGCGTATGCTTTTTACATGGGAATCTCTCTACGTATTTAAATATGCCACTAGTGGACTAAAGACACCTTCACTTGTACAGCTGCCTCACGTTTCCGAAATTCTGTATTCACCTTATTAATTTATCAGCAAACAACAATAAACTAATCTTTATTTATTACACATGCTAATTAAATTTTCTTATACATCACTTTGTTTCAAAGCGTTGTTACGAAAGATTAAACGAGCCATGAAAGCGGTTTTCAATGGCGGCATTGATTGTAACTGACCTCTTCATTAGGAAGGTTGACATCATCCCCGGAACCTTTCAGAATAAGGTAATGTCTACAAGAAAGAACTAAAGTGTCATTGAAGCTGCATTGTGCTGGACAGTAGATTTCTGGTGATTGCAGAATAATGCACTGCTCTCTGTCTTTGACAATTTCACTGTAAGAATGTGGTTGCAACGTCTAGAAGTACAACGTTTGAAAGTTATGCTAACGGTGTGGCTTTGCTTCAGGCCTAAGGAACTTTAAAAAATCTAAGGACTGTGCCATTGATTAGGTAGTACTTTACAAATAATGGGAAATACAGGCAAAAAATGGTTATTTCTAAGTACAGAAGTACAATTATCTTGCAGCTGCGCCTATGACTGATTCATATACTACAATAACACTATTGTTTACACATTTAGATACACATTTACCCAAGCACTATTTTATAGATATTTAACTCTTTTATACAACGAAGTCAAATCCAATGCCTCCTGCAGTTATGCTGGTAGATGCACAGCGCTTTCCTGGAGGTGGCCTGGGTGGTCTTAGGTGTGGTGTAAGTATATCCCGAGCATTCTACTATTTATAATATATTTCAAGGGTTAATTCTGAAAAAGTGATACTTGGGTGCTAGAAAATGCTATACATTGGAGATGTCCCACTTCAATTGTGTCCAACAACACATTTTGAAATAAGGGTCTAATGCCTTCTTTAAGATAGTTTGTCGCTGCACTAGAGAACTATAGATATATATATCGCAAAAAATTGAAGAATTCGTCAATAGAAGCTTACTTACAAGGATATGTCACATGGTGAAAATGCTGTCTTTCACCCTTCATACCAGTGAGTACGCAGTGAGGAAGTCGTAAAGAAGGCAAAAAGATGCACACCGTCGTCCACGCACACGGTGAACTTGAGCACATTTTTTTTTCACTTTTTCTTCGAATACGCGACTAACTTTCAATGTGGTCTCGAGCTCGTGCGCGCGAGCACGAGTGAGTGAGTAACAACTTTATTAGTCGAAGGGGTGAGGGGTAAGGGAGGCTAAGCCACGAAGGCTGCCAGGCTGTGTTTCTCGATGACTTCTTCCGCTCGCTTCAGGACCCGTGTCTGGATGTCTATGTCGTTGCTGGAGAGAAGGGCCTCCCATTGTCCCTCGGTGGGGGGTGAGCAAAGGAGGTCGGCGGGCGGGGGATCCTCCGGGCAGCCCCAGAGGATGTGGTTCAACGAGGCAACGTTGCCGCACAGGCAGCAGCGTGGATCGATGGCACCTGGGTGCATGTATGAAAACACGAGGGGGCACGGGAAGGTGCGGGTCTGTAGGCGACGCCAGGCGATCTCGGACCGCTTGGGAAGGCTGCTGTGAGGATGTGAATAGAAATATCGCTCGAGGCGATAGTGCTGAGTGATGTCGTGGTAGGTGACCAGGGGCTCCGGCACCAGGGCGTCCGACTCTGAGTGGCCCACCGCTCGGTCGACGAATCCTCGAGCGCGTTGGTGAGCTGTCTCGTTGCCGGGGTGACCCGAGTGGGCGGGGACCCAGATCAGTTCTATGCGGCACTGCTCATCTTGCTGCAGTAGGGGCCGAAGTAGCCGTAGGGTGGTAGGCGAGACGAGACCTCGCGCGAAATTCGAGATGGCTTGTTTCGAGTCGCTGATTATGACGCTTGCGTCAGCCGAGGTCGCGGCCAAAGCAATGGCCACTTCCTCCGCCTCGACGGCGTAAGGCGTTCTGACGGTGCCAGCCGTGATGGTCGGCCCCAAAGGAGCTGAGGAGGGCGACACGGAAACGACTACGAAGGCGTCCCTGCGTGCATTGTATCGGGCCGCATCTACGTAGGCGACGGCCGGGTGGTCGGCGTACTTTGCGTGAAGCATGGCGGCACGGGCTTGGCGGCGAGCGTCGTGGTGGCCCGCCAGCATATTCTTAGGTAGCGGCTTGATGTAGAACGCCGCTCGAATAGCATGGGGTAATGAGACCAGATCCGGAGGGTGGGAGGAGGTGTCGTGGCCGATGGAGGAAAGGATGTGGCGACCGGTCGGCGAACGGTAAAGGCGTTGCACTTGAGCGGAGC